AAAACTCTATTTTTTTCAAAATAATCACCATCAAACAAAGGCTTTTTTTGTTTTTTTTTAGTGGGGCTTTGTATGGGATCTAGGCTATATAATAGTTGAAATTAAAGTGCAACACGATGTGAATCAACTGTTGCAAAAAACTGGGACAAATATATAGAATCTCTCACATTCCAAACCTCCAAGAACACCACAAAATCAGACAGGATGATATTACAAAGGATCCCAAGTCTCACCTCAAGACAGTCATGACTATCTTAAACCTAGAATAAACAAAATACAATGGAGACCTCCTATATAGAGGACATAGTTAAATACTCACATTTCAAGTAGGAAACAAAAATACTGATGCAATACATAAAGCAACACATTCTATTTTACTAAGAAACAAACAATACAAATCAAATTCCCATTTTAGCATGATAATACCAAGTCAAAATCCTTACTTTTTTTTTTTTTTTTTGACTTTGAATTGTCTAATTCTTCCATATCACCTCCAAATGGAATAATGTGCCTCCAATAGAGTCTCGTCTCCTCTCCTTCTTTGTCACACCGCTTAGGAAATTTTGGTAAAACTTTTCTTCCATAGCCACAATTTTCTAAACAGAGAATGACCATATTCTACCATAAAGAGTTTAGACACTTCAATTAATAACGAACTCTCAAAATTTCATCAGGTATCGACATAAATTCCTTCACAAACCTGTTGAAAAATTATGATTCAACTCCCACATTTGAATTTTCCGAAAGTTCATCAAGTATTGACATAAATTCCTTCACAAATCTTGTAACAACGCCAAACCAATGTTTGTGTGCAAAATTGTAGACATGCTAATAATAACACATCCTTTATCATGACAATTTATTGACCAAATATATGTCGTAAGGATGAACATATTCTTTCTAATGAATATCATTGTCTCTCATAGAGAAAAGAGACATACTATTAGTTACAAAATCTGTATCTTCATATACTAATTTCGAGCAATTAGTCAAACATGCTCCATTCTCGAATAATTTTTCTTGAGGAGTCGAGACTGTCAACTTTTGTCAAAACAAAAATTAATCTTTTTTCTCAAAACCTTGTGCTAGATACACTGAACCAAAACAATATTGAATTGCATTTGCCACAAGTCAAAATTTGATTCTCCCATCAAATTTTTTCATGTCACTTGACATACAACTCCAACACTCCGAACGACCTAGCTCTCTAATACCACTTGCTGAGCATTGAGAACAGTTTCGATTTGCCACAATTATCCCTCTGCACAGTTGCCAATATAAGCAACATATAAGGTGACAAAAAAAACATCTCAATGCCTTCATTTCAGATGTTTTAAGCTGGCAAGACGTGAGGCAATGGCTACTTCTACATTTGGGGGGGTTAACATCACTTTATAATTTGCTTTCTTTAATTAAGTTCCCAAATTATAATTGAACAAGACATAATTAGAAAAATATCATATCAAATCGAAACCGACATAATTGGATGGGAGAATAATTAATTAAATGGCCTACAAAGTAGTGAAACAAAGGGTGCATGGGGCAGAAAAGACTTGGTATTCAATCCAAAGCAATCTTACCATCACTTGCCCATATGAGGAAAACAATTACTAAAGAAAAAGAAAGTGGAAAATCATCTATGGCTAAAAACGAAAAGAATAGAGAAAGAAAGAGGAAAATTATGAATACATGCATAGAAAGATAATTGTTGGGGTGGCCCTTTTATTTTTCTTTGATGTACAAAGTGGAAGAGTTATGATAAGTACTCATGATGTCATCATGACGAAGCATCCCTTTTTTATCTTCACATGTCATCAACTCTATACATATATACAGAAATGATCTCATATCCATGATAGGTAGGAGTTATTTGCCTACCGTTAAATTGTCAAAAATTGTAGACTTGACCGCTAACATGACACCACATATTTTGTCATGGTGGGCAGGTGTTATTTGCCCACCGTTAAATTGTCAAAAATTGTAGACTTGACAACTGACATGACACATTTTATCCTACCCATCATGGATAGGAGACCGTTTCTATATACATATATATAAAGTTGAACCACTTTCTCCTGCACTACACAAAAATTGGTAAATTTGTAGCATCTTTATTTAATCAATTGAGTGGAATTGAAATTGGAAAGTCTGGTAGGATGCATGAAAATTGATGATGAACTATCTCCAAAAGCATCCCATGCATTATGATTACGAGGTTTCAATTCTTCAACTTTGCTTGCTCCTTTATGTAAGGGTAATCATAATGCATGTTGCCTTGGCTGGTTGAGGTCATTTTTCTTGATCACATCCCTTTTATTAGTGGATGATATTGTAAACGTACATCTTCAATTTGATGCCTCACGTGATTGATTAGGATAGGAAGTAATAGTGCATTAAGGCCAGACCAAGAGTAACGTTATTCGATCAGTCACCATAAACTAAAGAAAAAAGTGGGAATCTAAGAGAATTCTAATACTTAAGAAACTTTATCCAATTTATTGAATAGGTCAATTGGTTAAGAATAACACTACATGTACGGACAAATTTCACAGACGGATTTACATAATGCCATATGACAACATTTTATTGGATTTTGGATTGAAAATAAAGTTAAAACAGCCAATGAGGTGCTACCATCTCAGCGCCCGTAAAATTTTCTGTGTAATTTATATGTACAAATATCATTTCTTATTGGTTAAACCCTTGTGATGAGTGGAATGTTTCAACTCTGAGAAATACCATGCAAAACAAAAGTCCCAAACTTTGTTGATTAGAAAAGTACCCTAGTTGTCACTCTCTCTCACACAGACACACACGAGAAGGGGGGAGAGAGAGAGCATGGCGAACGGGTAGCTGGAAAAAGGTACAATGATCAGCTTTTCAGGAGGAGAGGCAGCAAAGACATGGCCTGTGTCCCCATCTCCCCAGATAAAATATCATTTCTTTCAAGTTTATGTCTATTTCTTAACAAAATTAACTAAAAAATTCATTCTTGTAAAGAATATTGTTAGTGTTGAACCCAATTAAGAATATTTAGGAATATTTGACAGTTGACAGAGAAGTGCAGGAGGGTGGGGGGCACATGCCTCTTCTGTTCTGCTCTGTTCTGTTCTGTTCAATCGAATGTTTTACTAGACCATGTCTCATTCATCTCTTCTGTTTATTGGGTTTTGGGAAACACAATCATGCATGCCAATGTCCTTTTATTTATTTATTTATTTAATTATCAAGATCTATATTTTTTTTTTAGGTTATGTTTGTTTCGAATTAAAATCATATTTTAATCTAAATCATTATCAAATAATCAATATTAACCACATTTTTCAGGAGTCTTACAGCTTTACAACCACACGTCTCAAAAATTTCTATCACGATCCACTAAAAATTTAATTTTAATTTCCACCAAACACCCACTTAATAAACATATACACAGGTATTTTTGCCATTATTTGTGCCCAATTACACCATGGCATTCATTAATTTGGGCTGTATCTATCTCTTTCCTTACGTATTTTGTCGTGTGGTCCTGATTGGGTTATATATGGTGTCCAAAATTTTTGGCTTATATATGTATTGTAATTATTGGTTTTATATTTAAATTGTCAATTGTGATGACTGAGGAAGTATTCATAGGAAGATGTTAGAGCAACAAATTGTATGGAGAGGGTGTTAGAGGAAACAAAACTATCAAGAAAAGTTGACTAGTTGCTGTGGGAGTTCGACTATGGGAGTTTTATAGTGTATTTACCTTATAGATGAATTTACCTTCATTGAAAGATATGTTACTTTGTATATACACTTGGTTCTAATAGTTAGTATGATTGGATAGGTCCGAGTTAACTTGAAGGAGATGAGACGAATGGTTTCAATATTAAACACTTGGGTATGAATCATGGAGACGACTTGTCGAAGGAAGATGTGGTGTCTATTCAAGAGCAAATCGCTTTGTCATGGGAGAATGGCATGGCCGAAACGATAATAATGTTTTTTTGGAACGACGGGATCAAAATGCTATGTCAAAGGAGCACAGCCCAACTTATAAACCTAGGACAGTGGGGGAAAGGAGGAGCATCGACTTAGGCTGATTTTTATTGTGTTTCGTTTTATTTTATTTTATCACTTAATTGTGTTACGGACATTTATTTCGTGGTTTTTCACAGTTCTTTGTTGTTTTGATGAATTTGACTAAGTCGATCCATTCTCGGGTTCTGCATAATTATGTAACGAGTTTATAACATTCTGATCCTTGTTCTTTCTCGATTTCTTGGATCAATAATATATACACACAAATTTCTGGAAATTGCTAATCTAATTCCTTCGACGACGCGCAATCATGTCTGATGTATTTTAGTTTCAAATGCAAAACCTTTCAGCAGCATAGAAAAACCTAAATATGTAAATGAAGAAAAGAAATACCCCAATCCATCAGTATATAATGCTAGAATAAAAAGCTAAAAAGGACCTTTTGTGAAATCAGAAAAAGAGTGTTAACTTGTATTGTAATTTAGTTTCTTGAAAGAATGTCCAAAAGTTAACAAGCTGGAAAAACCTCCATTAGAAAACAAGCAGAATTTGTACTCTTCTTATTAATAAAGTCAAGATGAAAGAGAAAAGGACATATTACTGTGACCCCTTAGGAATTAAAAAATAATTAGATTTCTATATAACTGACTCACCATCATCTATCTACCCCCCTTGCAGCTATTCCATCCCCTCAAAAACTGCCAAACCAAGAGAATTAAATACAAAGTGAGATTTACAAGTTTCATTCTCTTGTATATTGTCCATCTTATATTAATACTTATATGTCCAATGGGAATATTGGACATATATGTCCTAATTGAATCTCAAACAGGTTCATGGCCTCAACAGATCTCTCTGAAGAGTTGAAATTTCAAGAACTTCCAATTCATGGCTTACCTCGAGATCCAAGATCAGTTTAAAAGGTTTAAATCTCAGTGGAACTGGCGGTTTGGGTTTTTGGGGTTTTCGACATGACCATGTTTTCTGCAGAAAATACATACAAACACCTGTTTTGTGGTGGTTTTTCGGAGGGTTTTGGTGTTATGAGTAGTCAAGTACAAGGTTATGATTCTTGTAGTGAAGCGTGTTTAGGATCTGATCGATTAGTTGGTCCATTAATGGCAGAAGACCAATCAAGAACTGGGAGTATTAATGAAGCAGGATCAAGTTCAAAAGATGTTCAACAAGAGAAAGATGAAGGGTGGCTTCAATTGAGTATTGGTGGTTACACAGGCCGTGAAAACAAGAAAGATCGGGCAGATCAAAGATCTCGAATAGACGGCCATCTCCCGGTTGAGCTCGAGCTTCTTCCAAGTAGTGGTAGTACTTCACAAATTAGGCCATTAGCAGCTCCTATGCTTAATATATCAGAATTTGCAACTCCTCGGCCTGTTATGAATTTTTCAACAGCCACTGATCATGGAACCTTAATTTTCTTGCAACACCCGGGAACTAGTTCAACTTTCCCTTATCATCAAGAGATTAACTGGGCATATAGGCCCATCCCAATTAACATAACATCTCCTTCAACTTCTTTAACGGCCCCGGGTGGTTCTTATTTTCCCAGGCCATTTCAAGTCCATCCCGGAATAGATATCCCCGGCCCGAATCTAGATTTCAGAGTGATTCAGCCACCTCGGAGACCACATTCCGGCATATGGTTTATATTACAAGCGTCACAAAATCAGTAAGTACATAATCTAGGCCGGGAAATCAAATTAATCATCCATATTAATTACTTTGCAGCAGCACTATTTTCCTTTCTGTGTTTTTTGTGACCCTACCTTGAAGCTTTGTTTTCTTACGACATCATCATATTTAATGGACCTTTATTTTTGCATTGCAGAGCAAAAGAACCATATTTGCCTCAGATATCCAAGAGCTACTTGAGAATCAAGTAATTTATTTTCTTCATTTCCTTTTATTTTCATATCTTTTTTTCTCCTTTTTCATCCCTAGGTCTAAAAATTTTTGATATTTTTCAGAGACGGAAGGATGACAATTCTATTGGTCAAAAAATATCTGGTTAATAAGCTTAGGCTGGAAAACGAATCAGAGGTACGCCCCGCATTCCATCCTTCTTTTCGTCTTTTTATTACACTGAATTTGCTATCAAAAATTGTTTATGATCAATGAGTATACTTATTGTTAGTTGTACTGTTTTTATTATTTGGTATTGGTAATATGACCTTCGTCTCAGTTAACAACGTTATCCAAGACATGAATTGGTTTAAGAAATATATGATAGAAACAGCAGAACTAATTATAAGGGCTTCCATTACTGATAATTCTAATAAAACATCATGGTTGGTTGGTACGATGTGTATTTATAGGTAGAACTCTTCTTTTTTTGGATCATTATAGCTTAAGCTGTTGCTGTATTTCAGCAAAAACAAGGTCTTTTCCTATTTGGAGAAATACTTTATAATTGTGAAATATCATCTTAGGGTTGGAGTGATGATGATAAATGAGGAGTAATAAACCAAAGTAAATGGCTATGCTGTTTACTCCTTTCCACTTTGTTACTGAGAAAGTGATGGTTTCATAGAAAAATCTGAAGTTAATGCTTGAACTAATCAGTTTATAGTTGCTGGAAATACGAGCAAAAGAAAAGAAACTTTTTCTTTTCTTGTAATCAAGTAAAAGATCAGTAACTTTTCTATTGATCCATTAGTGCTTAAAAAAGATGAAAATAAATTTATTGGATCTCGAAACCGTTTTCACACATAGATTCATAAGAAACGGCATGAATTTCTTAAATTTTTTCATGGTAGTGCCAGTGTTCAGTTCAATGAGAAACACAGATAATATTTGAATATTCTGGGAAAGAACAAGTAAACCATTTCTAGCATGAATTTTTTGAATGTGTGCATATAGTAAGCAAAAAGAGTAACTAATCAAGCTAGCTTAGTGCTTTAGAATTAGTCTGGTTGTTTTGTGTGGAATTCAAGTGCCATGCATGCACAGCAATCCAATTTTTCCTTATTGTAACTCTAGCAGAACTAAAAATCATCTGGTAAAGGAAAAGTTGATAGATATTTCTTCCTATGGACAGTTGATTTTGATCTAAGGATTGAAAATTTAATAAATACCTCATGTTAATGAACTAAAGTAAAAGAAGTATGAACAAAAGAAAAAATCCTCCTATGTGCGTGCAGCAGCCGGATATAATGATTTTTCTTCTTTAAATTTATTTTCAAAAAATTCTTTTGCTATAATCTCATTTGCTTATAGTTAAAAGTGGGATCCATGAATATATTTGTTTCTTTTATTCAAAGAACCGCAAGGATAGAGTTCTATTAATACTCAAATCCTTATAGAGTATAACTTAGGATGAAAGTAACTCAAAATAACTTAATATATATGTGATGTGTTATATATCTTGGAAAGCAAGTTTTTACATAAAATAGATGTCGATATTAGGTTTTGATTATATATGTATTATCGATGTTGATGGTTGTGAAAGTCGAGTCTTGTGAACTGCGTGCGTACCGAATTGATGACTTCTATGATGATTATAAATAGAGTAAGGTTATATTTTAGTGAATTTATTGAATGCTTACAAAGGAAGAGTAACAATTGAAAACCTCTTCTTTACTTTTAATTAGTAGCATTTCTTATTGGTGTTCAAATTAGTAAGACTTTAACTAATCTTCTTGAATTCCTTAGCTAAAGAAAACGAGTTAGTCCCTGCTTGACAACCATTATTTTGAAACCTTTTTTTCTTCTACACACTCATTTTCAACCACACATTCACACAATAAAATATTCTGCACGTAAATCCAAAACATTCTCATAAAAATCACCATTCGAAATTTTTTTTTTTTTTTTGCGAAAAAAATAGCCATCAAACATGGGCTTAATTAGGAAGGTGGCACTTTGCTAGGATGTCATTGATTAATTTAATTATTTTTTCATGCATGTCAATGTTGCTTATATATTTTATCATTAAGGTCAACTCTCATAGTTCAATGATTTGAATGCGTATAATTCCAATCATAGTTCATACCATTAAGTAAGGGAATAGAATGAATTAATATATATATAACTTATTCAACAATCAAACTAAACAGCTATTTATACATATATTTATAAAACAACATATTCTATCAGCCAGTATATTAAAAAGAATTTAAATGACATTTGACCTGAATTATTGATTAAGTCAACATTTTTTGGTTAATTTGTTAAAATCGTCTCGAAATGTATGGCATGCATGATCGAGTTTCATTTCATGAACACGTATTCATACATGCCTATCTTTCTTCTTTTAAGAAAGAAAAATAGAGTAAAGTCTTTACCGATCTATTCTATGAAAATTCGTCCTTACCTTATATGCCTTCCCGAAGAAAGGTGGATGATGAAAGATTCATTCACATTACGCTATGGCACATGGATAAGAGTCTCCATGTCTGTATTAACTCTGTGAAGGATTTTCTGTAAGTGTAGCAGAACTCTGTTATATTTATTTTGGGTGGGTAGGAATTAAAATATCAAACTTTACCGTATGAACACAATTTAAATGATATCTAATCAAATCAAAGTTAGGAATAATTATTTTTTTTCGGCTGGCTACGATTACGTGCACTGTTTTCATTCTAAATAGGCACATTCCTATTATACTCTAAGCTAACATATATATATATATATATCTAATAATGATTGTTATTCTCACAATCCGTGAGCAATAATAAAAGCAAAAAGGTAGGTATATGCATTTCTCTTTCTTAATTATCATAACATTGACTTTAAGGTGTAAAAACTAATTGATTTCCGCCCTTTGATAATTAAATATAAGTAGTTCGTGCGTGTGTGTGTGTTTATATATACACACACATACATACATATAGATGTGTGTGTGTGCATGGGTTGGCGAATGGTTTCGTCATGCTTTCGATTGCTTTAAGTCAGCCCTTCAGCAGCTTATGTAGGCCCTTTATCGTCATTTCCCACTATTGAACAATAATGGGTCCATCAAAACGGAAGTGGTGCACTTCGATGGAATTAAATAGTTGAAATATATGGCCTTGTTTTTACATATATTTACATTATCCTTCAAACTAGGGTTTCTTAATTAAAGATATAAGGAAACGTGCAGTGACGAAACTAGAATTTTAGAGTTATGGGCGGTAAATTTCTTTAAATTTTTCAATTGTAGGAACAAAACTGAAAATTATTAAGAAAATTTTGTACAAAATTTTGGATTTAAAATTTAGAGTCCGTTTGATTCTCATTATTGTAGAATGAGAATAAAAAATATAGCTGTTGTTGGACCCCACATAAGAGATTGAAATTCAAAATTGATGGTTTGATGTGATAAATAACGGTCATATTTTTCATTTTTATGGATGAAAAATGAGAAACAAACTGAGGCTTAGTATTGGAGCAGTTGACCCTACTGTAAATTCACCCATGGAAACGTACATGAAAGACGTTAGTGTGATGGTGTACACATATATAAAAGTTAGGTGAAATTATATAGAAACAACAATAATGTGTCGTGTCGCACCTTTTTCTTTTATTTTGTATTTAGTAATATATAAATTAATTAATTAATTAACATATAGTATTGGAACGCTGTCTAAGGTACAATGATATTGGCTTAGGAGCAAAGTCTGAATGGGTCCCTTTATATAATTAAAGTCGACAGCAGTTTACAATCGTGGGGTGGACGTCTTCTATAGTATAGGTCTGTTTCAAATACCAGTAACTTTTATATATATATGCATATACTTGGATATATTAAAATCTTTTGTTCAAACTTGACTTTCTATCCATAAATCCAAAGAAATTATGAGTATAATTTAACTTTACGAAGCCGAACACGATGATGAACTAATCCAGTAACAGATTCTCGAAGTAATTAGTCTTGATTACTCTCTTCTTACTGGTTGTAGCATTTGAGAGAACGAGTTTGTGTTTCCACGTCTTTGAAAATATCAGAGTTGAAGGTCTCGTGTTTAATTCTCCTAAAAATGAGCATCAAAGTAGACTTGTCTCTCGTAAGAGATTCTAAACAAATAGTGGACTCAACGGATTTTCAAAACTCATCGTGGGTGATAAAGAGCTCGATTGTACCTCTGTTACTAGCTATAGCTTACGAGAAACGTCACAATGCATCGTGTTACATATGTATGATTAAGGGCCTGTTTGACATGACTTTTACTTTTACTTTTGCTTCATGTAGAAGAGTTTTTAGAGAAAATTACATTGATTGTTGTTTGAAAATCACTTTTTATAACACATCCAATTTTGGAAGTACATTTAGAAGAAATCAGATTGGGTCAGCTTCCTCTAAATTCTCTTTAAACTGCTATAAAATTAGTCAAACGGGTTCAAAAACAGGTTTTGGGTCTCAAAAACTCATTTTGACTTTTCCATAGACATATCAAACGGGTCCTAAGGTTGGGATATCGTTTGTGTTTGTGTTTGTGTCATACCAAATTTGAAATTTCTATGTACTATGTTATTTATGTTCACAATAGTCACAAATTAACTAATAGAAATATTTGATCTATGCATTCTTCAGATAGAAATAAGATGTAAAGGGCAAGAGCTTCTACCTTTCTTGACGTTGCAGCATGTAAGAGATAACATATGGAGTCAAAGGGATTTTGTGACTTTGCTTCCACATTCCTCCTCGGCTACTGACCACATCATGGTTCTATTCTACGGCAGAAGTTCTTCTAATTAATTAACCTTTTTCCCATTTCTTCAATTATTGTTAAATTATCACAATTCGATTTTTTATTTTTATTTTATTTCCTTGATTGCGTGCATACTTTTAGGTCGTTTTCTTCCAAATTTTTATCTATTGTTATCTCTAATCATGGTTCGCCATTACCGGAAATAACTCTATCTTTCTCTCTCTCTCTCTCTCTCTCTCTCTGTGTGTGTGTGTCTCTCTCTCTCTCTCTCTCTCTCTCTCTCTTGCCGATTAAGAGGTTAGAAATTATCATGGTCAAGAGATTAATTTCTATTTTAATTTCGTCTTCCACATCGAGAGTTTCAATATATGAACAAACATCTTCAATATACATAATTCAATTGCGCTGCCAAATATTTGGGGACTTGAATCGCGATTTTCGTACCCTCCATTTCAATATCGAAACCGAAAAATCCGCATTTTTTGTAACGAGACAGATTTATTTTACCTAGAAAAGAAAAATAAAATGTTGAAAGCTAATATTAGTTAAATGAAGAAGTGTGAAAACAAATGAAATAGACCACAATTTATGTTTTTTGTTTTCTTGTCTTTGGCCCATTTCGCTTGTATAGTCCCAAATTTTTTGGGTCTCTAGTATGATTTTATACTATGTAGTTTTGTTAGAAATTTTACCCAAAAATATAAAGAAAAAAAATCATTGCTTGTTGATAACTGCTAAGTATAAATTAAAAATTGACACTATTAATATCTTATACTAAACATTAAAATTAAAATTAAATAATCTGAAGTAATTTTGAATTGTCATCCTTTTGAAGTGGTCGAAGCAAAAGGTTCAAAATCGATTCACACACTCCCATCTTCAACCCTTGAATCTATTCTTAAGTGAGGTTATACTTAGATGTGTGTAGCTCGATCACTACTCGGAATTCAGAACGATATAAAATATATATATATATATATATGCAGAAAGAATTTTGTTAACAAACTTATATAATCAAAATGGGCTTGAAAAGCCCAATGGGTTAACTTACTTTTTTCATAAAATGTGAGTATTGTATTTTGAATTGGGAAAAGTTTATGGGTCAAGTGTTTACTATTCCAAAATTAAAAATCAGNTGAACAAACATCTTCAATATACATAGTTCAACTGCGCTGCCAAATATTTGGGGACTTGAATCGCGATTTTCATACACTCCATTTCAATATCGAATCCGAAAAATCCGCACTTTTTGTAACGAGACAGATTTATTTTACCTAGAAAAGAAAAATAAAATGTTGAAAGCTAATATTAATTAAATGAAGAAGTGTGAAAACAAATGAAATAGACCACAATTTATCTTTTTTGCTTTCTTGTCTTTGGCCCATTTCGGAATGCAGAAAGTATTTTGTTAACAAAAGAAAATAGGAAATTCACCAACCCAACTTGTATAATCAAAATGGGCTTGCAAAGCCCCAATGGGTTAACTTACTTTTTTCATAAAATGTGAGTATTGTATTTTGAATTAAACGAACTCTATATTTAATGTAAATTTAAAAAAATTTATTGTTCAAAAATTAGGATTTATTTAATTTAATTTTAAATTTATTCTCTTTAAGATGATTGAAGGGAAATTTTTACAAAAGGCCGTCTCACTATTCTCTCAAGGAGGCAATGAATTCCGGCAAGAGCTCAATTTTCTCTATTTTTTTTCTTGTGAAAAAGGGCCTCAAACACCGAAATGTGATTACTATTTCTTTTAATAATCCATCTTCCTTGTATTGAGCTTGTTTGGAGAGATTTTTTGAAAAATCACTTTTTCCAAAATTTTTCGACCATACAATTTTACGGTATCTATAACTTTTTCCTACTTTTAATAATACATTATTCAAAAAATTATTTTCTCTTGAAAAAATCTCTTTGAAACAAATTTAAAGTGGTAAAGTGAAACTCAGAATCCATCAATTTAACTTATGATTATAAGTTAGCAATCCTAATTAGGAAAAACAAAACAAATTTAGCCCCGTTTGGCCCCCATTTTACAAAATTAATTTTTCATCTAATTAATTTTTAACTACACGTTTAATGATATCCACAACACTTATTCATTTTTCAACCATACATTAATGTGGATACAATCAACTTTGACATTTTGCAAGGTAAATACTTATAGGTTTTAAGGGATTTCTGCATACAAATTATATATATTTAGATACATTAATGTGGATACAATCAACTTTGACATTTTGCAAGGTAAATACTTATAGGTTTTAAGGGATTTCTGCATACAAATTATATATATTTAGAAACTTGCTTGGTGACATTTTCAAGTAGAGAAAGGTAGGTAGAAGAGCAAATACTAAGAAATGTTTCAACAACTCATGAATAACTTTCTTGTGAAAAGACTTCACAAGACTAATTCAATTAAAGTTTAAGAAAACTCGGTTTGTGTATCGTTGTCCTAAATGTTATTTCAAGAAGAAGAAGAAGAAGAAACCCTCTAAAGCATTTTTTTTTACACCAATGGAGCTTGTTGTTTTATATTTGTATGACTGTGGTCATTCTCTTTTATAGAAAACTCTCCACGTAATTGTATTCATCCTTCAAATATAGTGAAGAAAGTAAAAACCTAGTTATAAGGCAGTCTTTTATCAAGAAAAAATGTGTAAAATAAGGCAATATTCTTTGTAATAAAATTTGGAAAGATTAACTTAAGATTTTTCACAAAATCATTTCTATCGTCACAATCTCTTAAATTATAACACTAAGGTCAGGGGCGGAGGGGAGGGGGGGTCCTGG